TTTTTTTTTTTTTTTTTTTTTTTTTTTAATTAATTAAATAAGTAACAGCATTCATTTCGATGGACGTGAAAATAACGATACTGAAAAATACGCGATTCGGTCTTATTAATAAATTTTATTTTAAAAATTCAACGTCTCTTATTGAGGTTTATAGAAATTTTCCTACATTTAGAAAATGAATTTTTTACCCACGACCTTTTAGTTAAATCAATTCTACTTGGGTTTTTATTAATAAAATTTTAAATTATATTAAATCCAATTATTTTCATGAAAATGTTTTAGTTCATTGAAGTCAGACTTTTCGCTATTTCCAGTTCAAATGAAATATTCAATACCTCTCGGTTTTTAAATCTAAAACAAAAAGCCAATATACAAAATTAAATTCTATTGAATGTTTCAACTGTAACAGTGTACGTCATTTTTTTTTAATGTTACTAGAATTTTTAACGGCGCGTATTCGCGCGCGCCCCCTATCGAAATTCTCGAATGAATTTATCCTGTTCGATTTATATCGATATATTAATATATACTTTCTCCTGGAGATTGACCAATAGTAACTGAGGAGGGTTTATATTCTACCAATAAGGAATCAGGTCCCATTTTTTCGACTATTGACTAACTTCAAACTGTCATGTATTTTTATTGTACACAGAAAAAAAAGTCATCTTGACTCAAGAAAATAATTTTCTTCAAAATTTACTTCTTGTTTCAAGTTCTTGTTTATTCTTGAACTAATAATGTCATATACTTATCCCAAGTAAATCTTTCTCTTGGTCTGGAAAGTAGCGCCAACGTTGGCGACGTGATTTTTTGGAACTAAATCGAGATTTTTTTAATAAAGAATTAAATTTAAGAAAAAATAACCTTATGCATGATTTTTATTTTTTTTGTTCATTTAATTAGACATTTTTGATTAATTTTTAACTTGCTGATTTCCCATTATATTACTAATTTACAGTTAAGTGTGTAGTGACGAAAATATTTGTATATACAAGTATTTGCTCGACTCATACAAAGTACACGGTTAGAAATTTGTTGCGTTAATAACTCAATAACTATAAGTGATATCGACAATCAGAAAAAAGATCCTTAAAGAGGAGGAAATTTCTGAAAAAAAGTCTCGACTCCCGGAGCTCTAGCTCCATAAACAATAATTTTTATTTAATGTTGAAAATGGGTTTCCGCGCGGCTGCTGTCCTACTCGGGCCTCGATACGCCCGTGTGTACATCAAGAAAGTTCAAAAACCAAGAGAATGATTTACTTGGATTAAGAGGTTTTTTTCTTCACTTAAGTTGGTATGCATGTTGGAACTAGGGAATATTTGCTTAAACCAAGATTGACCAAAACAAGAAAAAAATTTACTTAACTCAAGAATATATTTTATCTTCAGTTGAATATACTTGGATCAATCAAATATTACTTGACTCAAGATGACTTTTTTTTCTGTGTGGGGATATGAAAAATTGATGTGGGTACTCAAATGAAAGGTCTCGATGAGTGTAATGCAAGGATGAGCTTATATCTTTAAAAATGTCAATAGTTGACGAGATTCAAGGTCATTTCTTAATTAATGATATTTTTAAAGATGTAAGCTCATCTTGATGTTAAACTCATCAAGAGCTTTCATTTGAGTACCCACATGGATTTTTAATATATTTTTCATATACATATATATATGTAATATATATAAATATATAAAATATATGAAAAATTGATGTGGGTATTTAAATGAAAGGTCTCGATGAGTGTAATGTCAGGATGAGCTTATATCTTTATAAATCTCAACAGTTCACAAAAAACAAGGTCATTTCTTGAATATGTATCTAAAAAAAGAGCATGTTCAAAATCAGCCTAAATACTTGTCATAATAAAAAAAAAAATACTTATATAAAATTGAAAAAAAATTTTTTTTTAGTGAATTTTTAATTGAATTTTAGTACAAAAAAACCTTCTTGAATTTTTTAATCTACCAATAGACATAAAATCACTAACTAAAGTGTTTACAAATGAACAGATCACTATAATCACTTAATTAGCGGAGTACAAAGTAAACAAACTCCCCTCGTGAATGAACATAGCGATGATTCATGACTATTCCACCACTGACAATAATAATAACACTAACGATCATAATAACATCACTAATGAACGGGTAGTGTGATCAAGTAATAATAATAATAATAATAATGGAGTGAAAAAAAGTGTGAGAATATAAAATTACAGTAAAAATGATTTAAATTAAAATATAATAACCGATTGAATCAGTTACTCAAATTGACAATCGATTAATGTTAAATAACAAAATTTAATGAGACAGTAATTATTATAACGTACCAGGCAAGCAGGAGCCGGGTGGTCGTTCCATAGCTAGCTTGATACGCGGAGACGACTCATTCTGAGCGTAGTATACCAGACGGTTAAGTTGAATAACTCATACTCGCCGGGTCGTATGACTGTGCAATCATGAGCTTGTCAAAACTTTTTTTTACCGATAACGCTGATTAATATAAACTAGCAACCTTGCAGTCACTATGTGACTGCCGTGAGTTGTGAAATATAAATAAATAAAATTTTGCTTTATTAAATAATGAATTTTGGTAAATTGCACTGTACTTTCTTAAATATTGACGTTTTTAAAGATATAAGCTCATCTTGATGTTACACTCATCAAGAGCTTTCATTTGAGTACCCACATGCATTTTTTATATATTTTTCATATATACATATATATATAATATATATATAAATATATGAAATATATGAAAATTGATGTGGGTACTCAAATGAAAGGTCTTGATGAGTGTAATATCGGGGTGAGCTTATATCATTAAAAATATCAATAGTTCTCAAGATACAAGGTCATTTCTTAATAAATAACATTTTTAAAGAAATAAGCTCATCCCGATGTTACATTTCTATTTGGAACATTGAAAACTAAAATGAAATAAATTTTGGTTTTTTTGGTATAAATTGGTAAACCACCGAAATAACAGTCCCCTGGGCTGTTCCCATTCCCAAAATTAAAACTTTAAGATTAAATTTTAATTTATTTGTTCATAATATATAATTTGGTCCATAATGTTTATAAACTTAATTAGTTAACTAACAATCTTCTTCAATAAAAAGTACCGAAAATTAATTCGTTTCATTAAATTCATTAAACCAAAGTTTGTCCCGGGCATTTTAAGAACAGTCCCCTGCTAGAAGTTTAAAGCCAAAAAAAAAAAATCCAGCGTGTTATTTTACCTTTTGTAAGGTTTATAAGGATCTAACTAGCCTTGAGTTAATAACCATAGGGCTGTTAGCGCTTTATCGGAATTTTATTTAGTGTTAAAGCACCGTTTGTGCCGGAAATATGTGTCTGGGCCACTTGAAAACGTCAGTCCCCTGGCAACTATTTTTATTTATAATTTATTCATAAAATTCGATCCATAAGTCTTAATATTATTCTAATTAATGTAAACATTGACTGAGAACTTGAAAAGTTGAATGTATTGAAATAGTTTGCTTGATTTTTCTCAATTTGATAAAAAAAAAACAGTCCCCTGGCAAACAGTCCCCTGTCATGTTATATTGCAAAAGATACACAAATATCGAAAAAACAAAAATTAAATCTATTTATTTATTATGATTAAGATAGTTTTGTGGTCCTTGTTAATTTTTTTTCTAATAAAATCAAAAATAATTTAGTCGGACAA